AGAAACATTTTGGAGTGGCTTTGCTTTATGGCAGGCACATTTTAAGTGATATTATAAAGGACTATTCTGAAGTAACTATTAAATATTATGTCAATCACTTTTGTTAGAGGACAAGCACAGGTACCTGTTGGGCTAGATTTCTCTTTTATAAGGTACAGGGTGGAAGCAGCAGGGCATTTGGGGTCAAACAGACCAGTGTTGCAACCCTGGCTTTGCCTCCTTGGGCATGTTACTGAACCTCTCATTCTTAAAATTTGTTTTTTAATTCTACGATAAAGAATTGCTTTAAGGATTAAAGATAATATACACAAAGTATCCAGCAAAAGATGCCTGGCATATAGAAAATATGATTGTTTTTATAGGTTCAAAGATTATATCTCCTAAGCTATACTTAGGAGCAGATGATTAATACCACATTAGAGAAAAAAAACAATAAAAACCCACTATAGAGAGTTCTGTTACATAGTTCTCCAACTCGCATTTCTTCATGATTATTTTGTAGCTAGTGATCCTATGGATCTCAGAATTCCTTTCTTCATAGTGTTTTACTTTATCTGAAAAAAAAAATAGAGCAGTATTAACAACTATTGCCCTTTTCCTCCTAGGATACTAGAGAAGTTACTTGTCAACATTTGCTAACATTTCCAAGATTCTAACAAGAAAGATGCTAAACCTTAATTACGCATAGGTAACAAAATAAAATTCTCCTTGATGGAAAAGTCTTAAAAAAATGAATTAGAAGGGGGAGGAAATTAACAGCAGAAAGGAAACTTTATATTTTGGCAAGCTCTGAAACATGGAAACCTTATTCTTTCATGGTTTTCCATGAATCTGAATCTCTTGACGGTTTCTCAATTATAGCTTGCAACTGTGGGCTTCAAAGCAATTCTGCAGTTCAGTTCACCTCAGTCAGTCAGTCAATAATGTTTATTGAATTCCCATGGAGGGAAGAATACTGAGTGAGGGGCCCATTTTCATTTTCCTCAGCATGAGTGCCTTGATCCCGAGAGTCTGTCATTCAGCCAGTCAGACTGCTAATGGTCTCTCACTTTGAGTCCTCCCCAATCGTGTTTCCCCTCAGTTCCTCTGAGGTGGTTGGAGCTGACCCCCTCCCATCTACCATCCAACATCGGGACTCTTCCTGCCTGCACCAGATGAAAACCCTTTAAGGCGGAAGTTTTCCCAGATTAATACCAGACCCTTAATCTCATACCGCCTCCTACCCAATGCTGCTCAACTTTATTTTATAAATATGTGTATTGTTTGGGCTGCACTGAACCAAACTGTAATCTCCCCAAGTTTAAGGCTTAGGTTCAATTACAGGATCATAGGCTATCTAAGTTCAAAGGGGTTTTTGAGATTTAGCCCAATCACCTTATTTTTCAGATTACAATAAATCAAAATTAAAACCCAGAAAAGGAAAATTACTTGTCATAGTGTAGTGGAAAGCAGTGGGCTTTGAAGTCAGAAAAATAAAATCTGGAGCTAGTTCCTGGCTCAGCAAATTGCTGTTCTGACTTGAGCAGGTCTTCAACCTCTCTATACCTTATTTTGTTTTAATCTTGCAAAATGGGACTCGATAATTATTGTAGCATTACTGACATCTTTAGAAATGAATGAAAAGTGCTTGACAAATTTGAAGTGTTCAATAAATGGTGACTGTTCTTGATTGTTTCAAAGTTACAGCTGATAAATGTCTGATCAGAACTGGAAGGAAGAACCTCTTAGTCCAAGTTCAGTGTGTGACAGAGGAAATGGCCTGGGGAAATAAAACAGCAAAAAATATTTTCTGTGTCTTTAAAGCTTCCTCTTCTGTTTTTGGGAACTGCATCCTGGCAGGCATCCCTGCCTCTGACAGGTAGTCAGAAGGACAGGGGAATGTCTTTTGTTCTTTGTGTTACAAGAGATAGCTCAGCCATCCCAGGCATGGTAGGGGCTTCCTAAGTCTGGAAAGTCAAAGGCTTTGTCTTCAGCAGAGATGGGACGATTAGAATTGTTAACTATGATAGCCCAGTACTGACGGCCCTCCCTTTAAAAGCCCTGTATTTCTGCTTATGGACAGAAATTTGGTTTTTGAGACTAGAAAGACTACCATTTTCCTACTTTGTCAGCAAAGTAATAAACTTCTCTTTCCGTCTTCTCAAATCATTTGTTCTTGTTCTTCTAATGCGGCCTCAAGGACAGGTTCTTCTGATGTGGCCTTGAGGAAAAGTGCCAGTAACAAGTGCTTATTCTTTCTATCTGGCTGACTCAATGCCTGTTTAAATTTACTACAATTCCTCAGAGCAACCAAAGAGTACCACCTCCACGCCAAGGGCATTCAATAAACATTTTTTGGTGATGTTTATTTCCCAGACAGATTAGAGTTCTTTTGAGACAGGCAGGTAGGAGGGATTTTGTTATTGTTTCTTGCCTTGGGGAAAGATTCCATCAGTAGAGGAGCAATAAAAAGCATTCTCTCTATTAAGTGGAAATGATTAACACTCCTTTAGTTAGGCAATATTTTCCCACCCATTTCTGAATCCGGCCTCACACGAACCAAGCCACACAGATGGGGAACCAGAAACCTAAGAAAATAGCAACAAATTGGTGTGGTGAGTGGATGTGGTTAAAATCTTTCATCTGGTTTGTCTCAACCGGCTGTGGATGTTATATGGGTTTTGAATAAAGTTGAAAATCCAAGCAAAATGTTATGAATATTAAGCCACAGGCATCAAAGCTTGGAGAATCTAATGAAAAATGAACCAATGTAAACCAAAACATAAGGACATTACACACCTCCTTTCTTGAAAGCCAAATTCTGGCAGGAAGAAACACTTAACTTGTTGTAGGAAAGGAAAATGCAGCCTTTCTAATTAATTATCACCTCAGTGTTTATTTTTCAATGAGTCAGTGGGCTGGAATGATGAAAGCATATGTGGCTCACAAACTCGGGCAGGAAGGAGTGAACAGGGACAAAAAGCTGATGCTAAATGTGCCCACGTTGGCTGTCCTTGTGGAATCCTTGAATAAAAGAGTTTTCTAAAGCATAAGTACTTACACAGCCTGCCAAATTGGCCCTCGACATATTTGTGGTGATTGCTTGAAAATGGCAGTTCCAGATGGAAATTTGGGGAGAATAAATCAGTATAAAAACTGATAGACACTGTCCACTTCCTTGGTAAAGGGCCTTAGTCATAAAGGAATTGATATTCCGTGGTGTCTTGTTTTAACTCCCAGAAGTAAAAAGTTTCCCATCAGAACACATATCTGAGATAGAGCATATAACATCTTGTTTGAGTCAATCAAATGGTTGAAACTCTGCTAGTGGGTGAGATTGAGAAGAAGGAAGAAAAGTCTATTGTAAGTTCCAGAATGACAAATGAAAACTTTTTTTTCTTACCTAGTAGCAGTTCTTTAGCCAACTTCAAAGGGTCTAGCCCTGTGGAGTCTTTTAGACTGAATAAACCAACAGGTTTTTTTGATTTGGTGTTTTAACAAAGAGGTGATGGACCTCTTAAAACTCACTAGGGAAACTGTTTGGAAATTGTTTTGTCATAGACCATTTTTTAAAAGCTTTTATGTAGCTATAAAACTGCAGTTTCTCAGAGCCTTAAAAATTCTGGAGTTGTTTTTGAAATTTAGAAAAGGAAGATCCAAACCAAAAATTTTAGTTGTCATTGTTTAATTATATTTAATGTTTATAATTCACAGTACAAGATGTATCCATATATAAAAGAGCATTTTAAAATGGATTTAGGCTGGGCGTGGTGGCTCTCGCTTTTAAACCTAGCACTTTGGGAGACTGAAGTGGGAGGATTGCTTGAGCCCAGGAGTTTGAGGTTGCAGCTAGCTATGATGGGACCACTACACTCCAGCCTGGATGACAAAGTGAGAGACTCTGTCTCTAGAAAAATAAAATAAAATAAAATAGAGTTGCTTTAATTGCAAATAGTGGTGAACAAACCATTATCCGGATGACCTAAAGCTCTTGTGTTTAATTTAATGTATAAATATTCGTGAAAAAAAAAAGAGAAGGTAGGCCACCTAAAAGTCTCTAGTTAAAAAAATTACACTGAACTAGTTAAAGTATAATCTTGAATCATTCTCTATATAGTATTACATAATAGTAGATTTGAACTTTGAATTTTAGTTGAAAGCAAGGAGTAGATTCGGAGAGGAGCTACTGATGGATTCTTGAGAGGAAAAGGATCTTGGGGAAATATGGCATGTGTTAACAGGAGATCCTTGATAAATGTCTTGTCCTTGCCTGTCAGGAGACACGGAGAATACAGGGAAAGGATGCTCTTTGGACAAAGAAGGAACAATCATTTTTATCAGGCAACAGCAATAGGTAAAGTGTTTGCCAAAGCAATTAAAATATATAGGGGAGAGGTGTAAAAAAAATAAAACACATAATTAAGTAAAGGCTCTTGGTGGCTTAATCAATGTCTTTTATACCAAGCATGGCAGCACTGAAGTGACTTAACAAACTGCCGCATCCTGGCTGGAGTTGACAATAAAATTCTTTTGAATATAAAAACAGATGCAATGCAAGTTGAAATGGTGTTTACTTAGACCAAGTTGCAACTAGCAAAATGGAAATTGGCCATGTTAGATACATGATAACCATTGTCACTAAGGCACTGCTGCAGGTATGCTGGAAAATGAACCGTGTAGGGCCCAGACTGGTCTCAACTGCTCCATCAAATTACTTAGGGAGTTCTGCACCTGAAATAGAGAATGGGTTCATGATTTTCTACATGATTTTGAGTAGCACTTAAATGTGCTCTTAGGGCGGAAGGGGTGGGTGGCATCGGGCTCCATGTCCACAACCAGAGGTAGCCACCACTTCTGGTGTCTTCTAGCTACTCAGCCTGTGGGGACAGCTCCAGAGCCCACAACTACCCTGGGTGGTGCCAGCTGCCTCTGCCTCCTTAGCCTCCTCAGTGCTGCACACTCCTTCTGCCCGGCCCCAGCTCCAGGTGCCAGGCCCCGACCCCGGTGAAGATTATGAATCAGATAAAAATCAACAAGAAATCCCATCATACCTTAGCAATGAACCACTAGAAGGTTCAATGAAAGATCACCCACAGCAGCAGCCAGACATGTTGTCCCGTGTGACCGGGGGTATCTTCAGTGTTACAAAGGGAGCCGTTGGTGCCACCGTTGGTAGTATGGCTTGGATGGGTGGAAAAGGTCTGGAGGTGACCCAAACAGCTGTGACAACTGTGCCTTCCATGGGACTAGGGCTGGTGAAAGGGAGTATGTCTGCCTTGGGTGGAAGAGTTACAACTGTTGGGTCTGCTGTTCTAAACAAAGTGCCCTTACCAGGAAAGAAGAAAGACAAATCTGACTAAAATATACACTTGCTCTCCACAGCATTACGATGGCAGTGGCATTGACTTGCTAAACTATGTACTATAACTAAGTCACCTGTTTTGGACATTTATCTTCTAAACTTTCAACTGTGTTGAAAGTATTGATGACTGGCTTTCATCTAAAAAGAAGACACCAATACAAGCACAGTGTTATGAGGTTTATCATACTTAAGTTTCAGCTTTTTATCTGGTAAAATGTTACACTTATTCAGTTGTAACTGAAGATATGGTATGTTTGAATGTTTACTATAAGTCTTTCAGGTTGACTAAAAATGTGAAAGTAGAATTCAGCAGATGAACCTTAGAGTTTCACATATATGATGTGCCAGGTGACTCATCTGCCCCTTAAGAAGGGAAACTTGAACTACATAAACTGTACCTTCTATGTGCCTAATAATTTCATATGGTTTTTTAGTAACCATAGTTGATTAGGTCAAGAGGCATTCTTTTCTTATTTAAGTTGGCAAAAGTAGCAGGAATTAGAGAAGTTTAAAAGAAAAGATGAATGGTTTTATGACACTGAGTATTAACCACCTTTTGATAGATATGCATTATATTAATTTAATTATTGATGCCTTATGAAAGAAACCAACCTTTCTAATACCCTAAGTATGTGCAGTTCTTAGAATTATCTATGGATTCTTTTAAAGATTGTGAAATTAGTTTCCCTCTTGAAATCTCAGGTGTAGTGGGATAAAGGCATTTCTTGCTGTCGGTGGATAAGATAGGGCATTTTTAACTGTCTCGTTAGTAGTTAAGATCAAATGCACTTCAAAAAAATGTGCTCTTAAAATATATTAACATTTGTATATGTTCATTTCAAGATGGTGGACTGAGAACATGTTTCTGTTGCTCACTCTGTATCATTAGGTGACCATTAAGAAAACAACCATTCTAAGTCATTAAGATATATATATATATATATATATATATTCAATACAAGAGATCAGTTACCACATGATGAAAATGCAAAGAAGGAAAACCAGAGGCAGTGAGAGAAATAAAAGATATAAAACAGCAGGGAGCCACTATTTCTATTGCTCTGGTAACAGAGCTTGGAAGGTAGGGCCATCCAGCCGTGGTTCCAGGTTTAGTGTGGGACCCTAAAAGGAGGCACTAAGTGGGTACTGAAGCCACAGAGAAAACAAAGTTATTGCTAGAGATGTCGAAAAAGAAATAGCAAGATAGGAGAGAAATAAATACTCTGGCTTTTCCCCTCCTGCAATCTTCTAATCTTTGCAAGTGTCTGTGATTAGTAAACCGACCCAGAAGTAGACGAGGGAACCTTAAAACTGAAGCCTCCTGCGATAGGAAGCAGAGAGGCAAAAACCGAGCAAACAGACATTCGATCTTTCTTTGTCAAATCTCTAAAAATACATGTACAACGCGCATACATATATAACTGCTCTTGAAAATAAGACATAGAACTCAGAAGACTGAAATCTGTGATGAATTTGTGAACACTGGAAAGCAGATGGGATCAAATTAAATGGAGAAATTATAGCCCAGAATGTGTGGAGGGGAGCACTAACGGGCCTCAGACAGAGGTAGAGGAAGCCAAGCATAGTTGAGGCATAGGCGTTGGATAGGATCATTATTTGGAGGTCAATTCTTAAGGAGCATAAGTGCATACTGGGCTTTGTTCATCTCCCTACTTTGGGCCACAAAACCTAAAAAGAAAGTCTGCTGCCAACTAGGAACGATGAAAACAGCACTCTGGTTGAAGAGAAAGGGCAGTGCCCCTGATGGTTAGTGTTGCTTAGATGAAGGGGGAACACGTATGATCGTGAAAACAGTCACCGCCCAGGGGCATATCCTGCCCCTCCCCCTTTCTCACTGAAAACAGCATGGCCTGCAAGCTACAGCAGCAGCTCCTACTTTCTCCCAAAGAAACTACACTAAGAGATGCTTTGGGCTATTTAATAAGGACTCTCAATGATAAAGATGAATGCACAATAAAAAATATATATACTTAAGAAATGCCAGCATCATAAATAGGGGCAATACACTCAATACCAAGGAAAGCAGAGTTAGTAGAGTAACCAGAATAGAATTTTAAGATATATAAAAGTAATATTATAAATAAGGAAGGACATTGTGTCCATAACATTAATATGGGTAATTATAAAACTAAAAGGGCAGCTAAATCCAAATGTATCATTTATACTGACTGTCAAGAAGGGAGAATGGAAAAATCCAGAGTACAAGTTTCATCTATTTTTCCCAATAACTCCTCTCCTATTAAAAGTAGACACTTTCAGTTTAAATCTTGGCTTTTTAAAAATGAGGCAAACTGAATGCAACTAGCCCAACCAGCCCAATATGTAAGAAATATAACACCTACATTTTTGGTACAAAAAATTATAATATGAAACCCATTAAAATTAAATTTTCCCATCTCAATACACCACAATTGAATGCTACCCTTGTGAAAAAATCTGTTTTTTAAGCATATATTGCCTTCAATGCTTTGCTTCTCAGTGAATTCTCAGAGAAGGGTGTGTGTGTGTGTGTGTGTGTGTGTGTGTGTGTGATGTGCATCAAAGTCAGACCTGCAGATGAAGGGCCCCATCCTGCTATCAGTTTTATCCAAAGCTCCCCAATTCATCATGGGGGCTCAGAGCTCAGCAGGGTGGATTTCTTGTTATCAGAAAAGCCTTAGAAGTAGAGGCATATAAGATCCATAGAAATGTCTTGCTAGAATCATTAATATGGGTTTTCCCTTATGTTAATATCCTAGAGGCTGATCTCCTGTTTTTACTCACTTTCAACCTGACAAGCATCATTTTAACTCCAATTATAAGACTAGAGCTCACTGGACTTCATCAATTTTAAGATCATATTTTTATCATTCTTGAAATCACAAGGCGTCTTACAATTAATGTCATCACAGCTTAATTGGTAACTCTTTTTTCCTTAGTAGTACATAAATAATTGTGAATATTACAATCTATGGAATCTTAGAGTCAACGAAATTTGGATTTTGTTTACATGCTCATTTTCACCAACACAGAAGATGTGACTATCTGGATAACTATTCCACTTGTCATCCATTGTCCACTGAATAAGTATTTGGGTGTGTTTATATGCTGGAATTTTCATTTTTAACAGTAAAATGTTTCCAGATGCATATTTTATGGAATGCCATAGAGCTGTGCTTCTTAAACTAGACCAACAAGCAGAATTACCAGAAGAGTTAAACAATATGGATATCTGAGCTCTCCTTCTGAGGTTCTGGTTTTGGATGTAGCTGAATATGCATTTTTAAAAAGCCCCAAGACTGATTCTGAGGATAAGAGAGGCTTTAAGAACCATGCTACAGATGAGGAGAACAAAAAAAAAAAATGTCTATCTGTTCTATAGGAAGCACATGAAAAATATTTTAATATTTAATTATCACTGTCTTAAAGTAAGCAAAGTCTACTAAAAATTATCTTCTTTTGTAACTAAAATTTCTGTTGTTTTACAAAAGCAAGCTACATTGTATCTTCAACAAATTTTCCTAGTACTAAGTCAACTTTATGATACAAAAAGTATTTTAAAATTTATTTTCAGTGACTGTCAAAGTTCAAATAGAATTTTAACCACAGAAAATTGTTTTAACTTGCATTGAGACTTGAAAATAAATTAAGTTCAATTTAGTTTCCTTTTTATGTTGCCTCCATGGTTTATGGTATACTGATTGTACAAAATATTATGAAATTGTACTAGTTTCCTGAAATACTGGGTTTTATTTATTTATTAATAATTGTGCTAGGCTTTATTGCACATGAGGAGGCATGATTTAATGGAAAGAGCCAGGAATTCCAGAACATTTGCCATTAACTGTATGACGTTAGGTGGGTCACTTAATTTCTTTTGGCCCTAATTTTCCCATCAGTTAAATAATTAAGTAGGATTATATGATTCCTAAGGTTCTTTCTACCACTAACATTGTATGGTTTTTGTGAAGGCAAAGACATATTATATGGACAGGTTACTGACAGTAACTAATTAGGGTGCAATGTAAAGTTAAGGGGCAAGTTAGCAACTGGTGACCTTGAACTGTGATAATTCAGTGCACCAATAATGAGTTTCAGGGAAAGAATTTCAAGTGAATTGAACTTCGAGAAAGAAAAGATTAGAAAATTAGAGAAATCTAGAAACCAATTTGAATAAGTTCTTAAAACTAAATTATTCCTAGGACAGAATTAAACGTAGAAGTTATCTTTCAAAAGAACAAATTTGGAAGAAACTTCTTGAACAAATAAAAAAATAAAAAGTTAAATTTAGATATAAAAGTGAAAGGGGTTGTATCAGTTCATCACACTATCCAGAGGCAGAGAGAGGACCTTTCATCCCTCCCTCCTCATGGTTTAAGTGCCTGAATTTCACACCAGACTAAGATGAACCAATCACTCTTGTCAGATGATCTTCATAATCTGATTGACTTTAATCTAAATTACTGCTCCTCCTTCAACCAGCAGGGATTAGATTAACAGATGGATTAACATCAGTCAGAGTCCAAACCTGGAGCTGGAAGGGGGATCAATTCTGTTCAGATTACATGCCTGCCTCATGGTGGCGGAATTTTGATCCCCAAAGGTTAGTTACCCTGGTTGTAGGGGGAAGACACCAATTGATGCTTAGTAGGCCACTAACAAACATTTACTTCCAAGCTGAATATGTATTTTCGCATCAACCTTGAAGAAAAATATGAAGCTTACAACTCGAAGATTTTGTCCTGGAGTAGAGATTGACAAAAGGCACAGAAGTATAAAATATTAACCGAGAGTAGTAAAGGAAGGACAGTGTAAATAAACTTGATCTAATGTGTGACAACAATAGGAGAGAGGTTAAGAGTTTGAGTGAGAATACGCAGGCTGAGATCTCAGTTCATTATAGCTATGTGACCTCTGTCCTCCAACTATATTAAGACCAAAGTAATAATATTTATGTTATAGAAGTTTTATTTTGTGAGAATTACATGAGAAAACGTA